AGTTGGGGCCAACGGACTGGTGGGTCTGCTGGTCTGGGTGCCGGCAACCATGACGGTAGTTGCTTCTTTGTGAGGTAGCACGACAGAATCAAACATCCTGTGATCGATGGAGACAAGGATGTCGTGCATCTGCTGCGCCTCCTCCCCATAAGGAGTGCCCACCATCGACTTTGCTATCTGTCCAAGCCTGTGCGTTGTCGCAACAAACAGGTCCCTGGACAGGCTCCTAGCCACCGGCGTGATTGTTTCCTCTTCGCATAATGGAGACTCCGAGTCTCCGAACGTCCTTTTTCTCGGTCGGACATCCGACACGACCTTGTACCCCGGTGGTCCGATCACCAGACGGTCACCATACTTATCGAACATGACGTGCTCACCGGTCGGCAAGACGTACAGCTGCCCGAGCAAGTATTTGTGACCGTCGCTATTGGCAATCACGAATTGACCCTGCGCTGTCGCGGGACTGTTGTGCCGATCCACGGCCGCCAGAGGCGCCGGGACCGGTGCGTCGCGGCCCGTCAGGGTGAGGGCGGCGCTGTGTTGTTGTGCGCGTTGACCGCGCCCGAGTATGGAATTCGGGCGGCGCGGAAACTAGGTCACCGCGCGAGCGCGTGCTGCGGCGCGAGTCGGTCTCCGTGCGGCGGCGCCGCCGAGAGTCGCGTATGTTATATATAGAGCTAATAAGTATGATTACTCACCYGTTGAATGGTYCACAGTGCCGATTGAGGTGTCCCTAGATTCGTCTCGACGAGATCTATCTAGTGATACCGATTTCCGGCTTGAGGAGTAATCCGTTTAGACGCTATCGGCGAAAAATGAAATTTTTGCGTTATTGCAAAATATTGCGAATTTCGCGTAGATTCTGATACCTGCAGCTTCGTATGGACAACACGAATCCGTAGAGMCAACAACCTAAGCTGTAGCTCTAACAGGAGCGGAGAAATCACGATACGAAGGTCCGTGGAATTCGGGCGGCCATGTATAATATATACGGCGGGTGTGTGAACCGGTTGCGTGTACACACGTGGTTAGGTTAGGTCGTCCTCGCCGCCGTATATTTTAAAAACTTTAAATCGTCCTTACGTAAAACTTATTGCACCGATTTCCGCGCTGATTGTACCAAAAGACGCACTGCGAGCAGACGAAGCTTTTAGTCAAAACCGCACAAAAAACCGATCACTTTAGCGAAAGAAATAAGTAAAAAACTACAGTGTCGCAAAAGAGCGTGCTCCCGGTGGTAATATATACGCGCGCGGTGGTAATATATACGCGCGATGGTAATATATACGCGCCTTCATATTAGTACCTATAATGCATTTATATTACAGATTCATTGAATGATGCAAGGAGTAAATTGCCTACTGCATTGTATAAGTCTGATCTTTCAAGTGCTGATGATATTGTAGTGAATCRTAGAAAAAAATATAAGCATAATAGCTTATCTCCAGATCTTATAAATAATAAAAAACAAAATGGGACTGTAATATTGGAGCCAAAAAGCTGTCCACCACGCTACACTGATGTTCTTAAAAGTATTCATTTTTTTAACTAAATATTTATATCTGATGATATATGTGATAGGTAATCAATTTAATGCATGCCACATGCCATTTTTATATATTGTTAAAATAATAAWTTTTTTTATTATCTTTTGTTTAGAAATTAAGATTATTAAATTTAAAATGTTATCACTTATCCTTTTAGATCTGAAAAATAGTACTGAACAAAAAAAGTTAGTCGATGATGGTGATGATGAAGATTCTTTTGATGATACAGATACTGACCCTACTTGGTGTGATAAAAGAAAGTTAGATGATTTAGAGCACAATTCTGATATTGAACAATATGAAGAACCGAGCTCTAAGAAAAAAGTTAACTTTGACATAGATGAAAGTAATTAATAACTAACTTATTATTAATAAAATATTGATGACACCAACCAAAATAAAAAATATTAAGGAATCTTTATTGCAATCACCTAGTAGAAGCTGGATAGTTACCAATTCTAAAACTTCAATCGATCTACAATCACCCAGTGGAAGCTGGAAAGTGACTAATATAAAAACTCCAGTCGGTCTCAAGAGAAACTTATTTCCTGAYMAAATGAATAAATCAGGTAAAATATCAGACATTTTTATTTTTTAATTAATAGTTGATAAATTAATGAAAAAAAAACTATTTAGCTAGGTCTTAATAGTTATACACTATTGTATACATCTTTGTATAGTAAATTATTATATAATTTGAAGGTCATAAAGTCGAAGATATCACAATGAAAAATAGTGAACCAAATACAAATATTGAACCAAAATTTGCCACATCTACAGGTATACTAATAATTTAAATGTATATAAATAGATAATTAGGTAACTAAACAAATATATTTTTGTATTTTAAATAGATTTTCAAAGTTTGGTGCTAAGTTCACTAACATATTTAAAACATGGTATGAACAATTTAATGTATACTGCTCATTCAAATTATGAAAACATTGTTAAATTGATGAATGATAAATCTTCTGCAATCTCTTCATTCAATGATGAAATTGATATGGATTCATTGTTTCCTATCACAAATGATAATGAACTGAGAGTTTTAGAAAATAAAATAAAAGATCCTGAGGTTCGACGTGTATTGGTAAAAAATTCAATATTAATAATAACAATTTTTAAATTAATATATTGTTGTATTCTTTATACTATATAAATATAATTTATACTTTAATAGGTTCATAGAATTTCTTTGCTGATTGGTAATAAGGATCTTGGAAACAGTGTTCGGCGTATTATGATGAGGTTGTTTAGTGATCAGTTYCTTGTCAACTATTCCCTATATGGATTCAAAAAAATAAATATCTTTTGCTAATTTACCATGCTATCGTTTAATCATAGGTAAAGTAGAATTATTTAATATTTATCATACACATTTTACTATATTAGTCTATAGTCTATATAGCCTTAGTCTTATATACACACCCATTTAATATAGAATAAAACACATTTGTGTTTTATATGTACTGCAGATTCTTTTAGAAATCATAAAAAAAAATGTTATCTATTCTATAAAATAGGTTAGTTAGTACTGCAGCAATAAATAATATGATGATTAGGTACACATCGCTCATGATTCCATGACGTTGAGTGAATAGTATGGATGAACCCAATTTTTTATTTTTTTATACCTCCAATACATAAATGCTACAACCATATCCTCATCGGATTAAATCATTTTGATAACTGAATATGCATTGAAGTTGCATTGAAGTTTCATATTAGTTTCGTATATAAGACAACAACTTGGCAACTCAACTAAAACTAGACTTGAATCTCTATCGCGTTGCCGTCATCAGTTGCTTTTGGTGAGAGCACGGCCTAAAGGTCTAATACCAGGGCCTAATATACTGTGTCACCTGAAAATCAAGGTAGGTACCTTAATAAAAAATGTATGTCCCAAGTTTTGTAACGTGTTTTTAGTTTTGATTGCCAAAATAAGTAATAACTAWCATTTAGGAATTCCAACACAATTAAAATATTTTGAACTTATACTTGTGTTTATAAGTAAAAACATGTAGTTTGTTTAAGATTATTAAAAATTTAGACCAACCCATTTTCAGCTGATTGCCGAATATTATTATTTTTTAAATCTTATATTATATCTATTAAAAATAACGAGTCATTTTTATTAACATTGTAAACTAATGCAATCATTTAAAACCAAATTTATTAAATTTACCTAGATTCATAAGTCGTATTGCGTCTTTTTCTCTGAAATAATTGGTTAACTTCCTTTCATTTAATAAGACCGACATTGCTTTATATATTGTTAACATTATGACTAGGGTTGGGAATGTACTATGGTGCACTAAAACACTAAATAATGAACTAAAAAAATGCAGGTAAATTGTTTTTATTTTTAATACATTTATTACAAATTTTAAATACTATTTGATTAAATTAATTAAATTGAAATAAAAGTGATTAAAATAATTTTTCCATAGGCAAAACTTCAACTTGGATTTCTTTTAATCCGAAAAAACAATTATTGTTAACTAATAATTACATACGCTAATACAGCGAACAATTATTACGAGTTTACGACGCTAATAACCTACTCCGTGTTTGCCCTCTGCGTGGCGAACGAAAATGAATATTATAATAGCTGACGCGGACGCAGTTTATTTGACTCATTATTATYATATTATAATCATTACATATAGTAATATCTTACTAAATACTAAATAATGAGCTAATAAAAAAGTCGTAGTGTGGCGGAGAGTGTATTTTTAGCAGAGCGCCTGTAAATGTACTCGCATGCACATAGACTACGATAAACGTCATCAGAGATTATTATTATTGATTCCGACTAGGTATTTGTTCCTTAAAATAAAAATTTTAATCTTATAGTATGTATARTTAAAACTACTAAACTAACTACTAAAATATTAGATTATTGTGAAATAAAATGGAAGTTTTTTAGTAGTAACATTTTCATACTTACGACATTTTTTATTTTATCCATCGATGTTAAGATTCAACAATATTGATATTGATTTTGATGTACACGACTATATAATCCTAATCCAAATTATTATATTTATGTACATTAAAATTTAAACAAGAGTGTCCAACCTTTTGTGAAGACTGGGCCACATCATATAGATATCAGGTAGAAGTTGTTGTGGGTCACATACTTTTGTTTAATAATAATAAATTCAAATTTAAWGATTAAATTATATTCTAGTTTAAAAAACATAGACTTGTGCATCGGCCTTTACAGTTTATTTGATGTTTTATAATTTTATATTCTTAAAATAAAATTGTTCTTGTAATAGGTATTAGTGTATTATATACAAATTAATTCATAGTTTTTAAATTGAAGTGAGGGCCGCATCAAAATCTACAATGGGCCGCGGGCCGCAGGTTGGACACCCCTGCATTAAATATTGATTTGTTTATTATCTCCTGTTGTGGTGTTATTTATGTAATTTGTATGGTTTATACTTRGTAGATAATAATAGCATTAATATTTTAAATTTTAGTAAATAAAATAAAACAAATTCAATTTTATTTTTAGATTAATATCAAATAATAAAAAATTAAGATGTAAAATATACTGATTTATTTTATACGAGTAAACTAAACAAATTTTAGCCATTTCTCAAGCCCCCCCCCCAACCTGAAATAAGTATACATTTTTGAGGTTTTCTTTACAAACGACTTACAAACGATTGAGGTGCATAAAGTTGTAATTTTTCAAATTGTTGGCATTTTAGCCATTTCTCTAGCYCCTCCAACTTGAAATAGGTATAACTTTTTGAGGTTTTCTTTACAAACGAAAATGTTATTTTTACAAACCTTTACAAACGACTTACAAACGATTGAGGTACATAAAGTTGTAATTTTTCAAATTGATTGCATTTTAGCCATTATCTCCAGCCCCCCCAAACCTGAAATAAGTATAACTTTGTGAGGCTTTCTTTACAAACGAAAATTTTGTTCTTACAAACCTTTACAAACGACTTACAAACGATTGAGGTGCATAAAGTTGTAA